CTCTAACCGGCCTAGAAGAAGCATCCAATGAGCCTCAGACCAGCACCACGACATCCCTCATCCCCCCTCCCTGATGCCCCAATTCTAAGCACTCCTGCAAGCCTGGTGCACATTCTGGGCTTTCCACATGGTTCATGATTTTGGTTTGCTTCGTGGAACTGACGGACTTCACGATGTACGGCTTTGACATGGTCGAAGCATCAGATTTTGGGTGTTGTACAAGGTTCAAGCTTGTGTAGGAGCTCGGAAGGAGACGACTTCATGGCTAAAACAAGCATTGCATGTAGCCTGAAAGCTTCTCGAAACATTCTGCAGCTAAAGACATGATTTTGACGCATTTTTGCCAACTCTCCAACCCTCTTCACGGTCAACAGTCTGTGGAAGCCCTAAAACATTCTAAAGCTTAAGCTCCTTCGCAGAAGCCCTGTCGGCAGCAGTTGAGGCCGACACCAACCACGACCACTTCTTGTCCAGGAGGGAAGTCCTGGAGCAACACATGGCACCCGAAGGCCTGGGTTCTGCCACACATTTTCCGTCCTGTCTTTGTTTTCAATGCCTTCTGAACAGTCGAAGAGTGTAGGGTTGTCAGGCACGGAGCTCTCTATAGTCCCGAATTCTGCAGCGGCTTGAACACTCCCCTTCCAGGAGGTGTACTGAACACCAAAGGATCCAGAGCCTGGAACCCTGCACCGCTAGAACGACAAATCCGAAGCCCAGAACCCTGCACCCAGCAAGCAAAGCCCGCACGCCCTAAACCACTGCGCCCCTCCGTGTCCTCCATGTGCTCTACAAGAGGCTCCACCGTCCTGGGAGCATGAAAGGCATTGAAGAAAGCCTGTAGGCTTTAAGGGTCTAGGATGCATGGCTTAGGCCTCTGTATTTTGGTGTGCTGGACTTTGCGTGTGGTTTCATTGAAGGCTCTTTGTTTCAGGGTGGAGCGTTTTCAGTTTTAAGATCCAGTGATCGGGATGGCATGACAAAGTTTCAACAAAGAGTTTGTGGGGCTTTATATAGGGTCTTACGGCCAAAGGTCTAGGGTATGTGGGTGTTCGGCTTCAGGTCCTTTCCAAGTCTTTCATCAGCTCGCTCATCCGTGGCGGCGTTGAGAACTGATTCCCAAGCCAGCCGTGTTGTCGGAGTATGGAATCCAAGCGCCCATGCAGGCCATCCTTCGCCATGATGGCCTGCATGAAACACAGAAACAGGATCTGTTGTCTCCACGTGCAGAGACCTGGTAACAAGGGTTGCTGACCGGTTTGGCGGTGGACATGTGCCCTTACTCATTCCAGGTGCTTGGGGCTGCCGAAGCGCTATGCCTGACTTGGCTTCCAGCTGTGGGCGAAGTCAGGATACTGCATTTCTACAGGCACAGCGCTCGCCGGCATGCTCTGAAACCATGGCAGCCCAGTGCTCTCGAAGCACTTCATAGCAATGAAAGCTCAATAGACTTCCAAACTCCGTTAATGTAGGGGCCTTAATAATTAGAATAGGGTTTTGGGGTATATTATACTATAATTATAATAAGGAGCCCCCAAAATAGTATAGGGTATTATTAAGACCCCTATATTAGCCCTCACCCGTAGGCAAGCTCGGAACAGGCCCTGCCTCTGCCAAAATGTTTGTCCATTTAGCGTCCAGGTCGCCGTCGTGACAAAGAGCTTGCTGAGCGTGCTGAAGACAGCGGAGGATGTACGATGCATCCGACACCTCCTCCTGGAACGCCCAGGGCTTCTCTGCAGTAGGTGTGACCAGATTAGTGTGGCTTGCACGGATGCATGATGTTGCAACCAGATGCCCATGATTTTGGGGCGGCCTGCGTGGCGGTTTGAAAAGGCCGGGCCAAATTCAGAAGGCAAAGGCTCCAAGACCATGAAGCACTGTAAACCCTGAAAGCCTAAGACACCCCGACCCCATCACTATCTGCCATCGACAGGCCTGTGAAGCAGCCGTCGGCATTGGTGTCGAGTGCCCAGCCTTCGGACGACTCATGCAAGCTTACCCAGTTCATTCTTCTTGCCGAGGGCTGATGCTTACATGCACGTTTAGCGGACGACCATGGTAAGATCGTGCGAAACAGCTTCAGCCACAAAGACTGGCCTCAGGGGTGGCGGTAACAACGGCCGCAGAGGATGCAGAGGACTGTGAAGGCAGTGTTGTGGTTGCATCTGGCGCCATGACTTCGGTGGCAGCTGGCTGCAAAGTTGGGCTCGCGGAGGCTTCCTGATCAGGCAGCCGCGCCGAATGTGATCCCTGCGCGCTTGAACATCCTTTGCAAAACTGTGCTTGAGGTCTTGAGTTTAGGGAGGTGGGTGCAGTCAGTCTCCTCCATGTGCCCCACAGCACTCAAAGGAGCCCAAAGTGTCCTGAGATGGGGTTTTGGATAGACGTTCGTGGGACTTTTTTTTTTTGTGTGTGTGTGCTTTTATAAGGTTCCCGTTGAGAGCTTTCGGCTTCGGGTGCAGGGTCGGGTTCGCAGGTCGCAACTTCATGATTCTTATTGGGTCTACATGAGAAGTCGCACCGATCGGACCCTTTGCTGGGGCTACGGACCACCTTTTCAAGTGACCCAGATGCAGCAGCGGCCTGAGGGGAACTGTATGAACAAGGCCATACTGCCTCAAGACCATCTGCCCATCCAAAAGTCTTCGCTGTACAATGCTGCAGGCTTGTATGCATGACCGGGAACCATTGATCTGAACCGGACCCTTGACTCGACGTCTCACAGGACCTTGAGATTGCCTGTGTCACCTAGGCAGATCAGGGCAGAGATCGGGGCGCATGATGGTGAAAAGAAACACGAGGTCCTTGCTCGAGATATCTAGATGCGACAGCCTGCAATCCTTTATGCTGCTCACAGGCACAGGGCTATGCATACGGAGTATGTTCTCTTCCTCTCCTCTGCCCTTCTCGCTGTCCCTGCTTTCTCGTTGTACCATCGCCCGCGCTAAACAATGCTCGAAACCCCAACTACGCCTTAAAGTCCAAGCAGTGGACCACCTCTTGCAAGCGAAGCTTCTGCCACTTCGCGGTGCTAAACCAATCACCTCGCACTTCATGGATCGTTTCCACCTCGTTGCAGCTGCTGCGTCCATGTATGTTTCGGCGCATCAACTGCATGATTTCACAGCTGCACTGTGGTGCCGGCTTCACAATAATGAATAACGATGATAATAACAATGATAGCAATAACACTTTTGCCCCAGCCGCCTGTCCCTCGTTGAAGGCCAAACGAGACGCCGGAACGCCAGACCAGTCGGCAACTCGGCTGGAGTCTCTCGCGAACTTCACGCGATCACCTCGATGGCAGCGCGAGGGTTCAGGGTTTAGGGTTTAGGACGTAATACTTTGAGGCATAATAGGGCGTGTGGGGCATGGGGATTCGGCGCTTGGAGTCCTGCGGATCATGCAGTGCAGATTGAGACAGGGCGATTGCCGTTTTTAAGCTCCACAAGGGCACCGGAATGGGGGTTCGTAGCTCGAAGGGTGTTGGCTTGAGGACTTTAGGAAGAAGGGCCTGGCTGTTCAGCACCAGCGCATGTGGCTCTTTCGGCATTCACGAGCAGTGGAGAAAGACGATCAATCGACCTGCACAACTTTTAGTTGGCCAAGAACGTGCAGTTGAAGCCGTCGAACGAAACAGCCAAGCTTTCCTGCTAACGAGCCTTCAACTGTCGCGCTGAAGGGGCCTAGATGCCAGAAGAGTTAGACTGCCAAACCCTGACACCTCAGGTGCCGGAAAACCGTACGGTACATGCCATCACCCTTCCCCAGGCTCCAAAACCATGAAGCTGAAGGGCTCTAAGCGCTTTGGCTCCGCAGCTCCCCCTATTCCTCACCAATCGGAATGCCATAGGCAGTTTTCAAAACTCAGCAGCAAGCACAGGGATGTCTCGTAAATTCCCTCTTACGGGGATGCTCTGTTGGCAAGTGGCCTGGTTTGAAGCTGGAAGCCTCCCCACGCTTCGCCTGCATGAGGCGACTACCGGGCTTGGCTATCGCCACTGAGGGTTTAGGGTTTAGGGTTCAGGGGTTCAGGGTTTAGGGTTTAGGTGTTTAGGGTTTAGGGGTTTAGGATTTAGGTGTAAAATATGCATAGCAAGGCCAAGCTCATGGATACGCAAAGGCTCGGGTTGGGCCTGCAGGTGACCTTTGTGGAGGACTCCCCACAGTACGACCCACACCTTTCCAGTACGCAACGAGCCCGGAACCTCGGACACCGAGGCACTTGGAACCTCCACGGACCCCGAGGAAGAAAGCAGGTGGGCTGATGGTCTAGAGTTTCGCGCGGTCTGGGGCTTAACCCTTGACCCCGGATTTGCGCCCGCATTTCCCGGGTGGATATACCTTTCTGCCGCGTTTTTGTCCTGTGCCGTCTGCGCACTTGTTCCCGAGCCGAGAACCCAGAGACTCCAAAACCCCTGAATTAAGGAATATACCTTAAATCTTACTGGGGTTCCTATTATAATTTAAGGTATATTCCTTAACTTACGGGTTTTGGAGTCTCTGGGAACGGAAGCCTCTCCAGCCCTCGCCCCCTGGAGGCGATCCCTTGCAAAGCGCGCAAGGCCACGTCTTTTTGCAGAGCTTGGGTTCCAGGAGTTTGAAGTGGCTTCGGGTTCTCTGCCCCCCCCCGGAAGCAGTGGTTCCACGGGATTCGCGGTGCCCTTACTGCGGGCTATGCAATCCGAGGGCTTAGGATTAGGGTTCAGTGTTTTCGGTGTTTTTTTTTTTTATCGGCCTGTCTTTTGAGGTGAAAGGCGCAGGTCGCCTTGAATCCTTCGGTTCGTCACAGGCGTGCGAGTAGCGTTCAGGCTTTCAGTCTGGCTACTCGACTCATGTGCCAAAGATTCTTGCAAGGGTTTAGATAGGGCTTGGGGTTTAGGGTTTAGGGTTTAGGGTTTTAGCCAAGCACAAGCCTCGGTTGTAATCCTTGCCGGAGCGTCATGTCATGCCTTGGAGCCACTAGCTGTGCACTAGTTGGGGTTTTCACCTCAGTAGTTCTATCGCCAGAGATCCGAATCTTCCAGTCTTATGTCTTTTTGGCTTATTGACTCTCGTCCTTCTTTCGATCGGAAGCATTTCAAAAGGGAACATGCAGTAGCATTCATTCTCAGCCTTGGGGTCCGGGCCCTCTGTCGGCTGCGAGGCTGTTGGGGATGCCGTCCCACAAGGTCGGAGTGAAGTCTCCAGAGACGCCGTCGTCGACTCCTGAGAAAAATTGTGGCTCATGCCTTAGAAACTTGCATCCCAAAGCCCAAGTTGGTAGTTTCCGGAAATTAGGGGGTACCCTTATTTTGGGGTCCTGATAATAGGATCCTACTATTTAGGGTACTATATTAGGATCCCCTATTTTCGGAACCCCCCCAGTTTGAGGCATGAAGCTGCGGGAAAGCCTAACGCAGCAGGCTGGCCTGCGGGACGAGGTTGCCCACCACTGGCGACGCAGGCTGCGATGGCTCTGCCGTGGAGGCATTTGCCACCAGTGGGATCGCTTCCTGCACAAGCAGCCCCAATTATAGCTTCCGAAATCACCAAACTTTCTCAAACATTCAAGCAGCGGCGCTGAACCGAACAATGCAGGCTCTGCAATGGCTGTGTAATTTGATTGGTTTGAAGGTACGAAGTCGAGAGAGTACCAGCATTCAGTGCCTCTTGGTGGTGGTGTAGCAACTGTCGCCGGGGCTGTGTGGGGTGTTAGCCCATTTCAGAGCCTCAATTAGGAGAAAAGGGTATTGGCTTGGGTATTCTCGGGGTACGCCCCCATACCAACCCCAAATAAACTCCATAAACAACCCTATAAAACCCTCAACCCTCTAAACCCCGACTACAATCACTAGAACCCCTATACTATAAAACATACTCAAACCCTACGCACGCGTTTCAAAACTGGAAAACCCCACTAAGACCCTACAAAGCTTAGAAAAACCCTAATCCAACGATGAAGGCCCCCATACCCTAAACCCTAATCGCAGCCCTAAACCCTAAAACCCTAAAACCCTAAAGCCCTAAACCCTAAACTTCCTAAACCCTAAACCCAAATCGCAGAAGCCTCGGCATCTGCCAACAGCATCCAGCGACCGGGAGACTCTGCCGGCCCGAGAAGATACCTTGGCTTAGGGCTTCAGGGGGTTTAGGGTCTAGGGGTTTAGGGTTTTAGGGGTCTAGGGGTTAGGATTTTAGGGGTTTAGGGTTTAGGGGTTTAGGGGTTTAGGGTTTAGGGGTTGGGGATTTAAGGAAGGCTTAGGGTTTAAGACTTAGGGTTTAGGCTTTGGTGTTTTAGGATGGTTTAGTGAATGGGCTTTCGGGGTTTAGAGTTTCGGGACTGAGGATACCTTGGCAAGATTGCAGGTGTCCGGCACTGCTACCTGATGTACGTGCAGACAGGCAGGCAGGCAAGCAGACAGACAGGCAGGGAAGTGAAAGGAAACTACAGGTGGGGAGTTCAGGGTATGTAGGGCTTCTATAAGGCTTCTAGACCTTCTATAAGGCTCCTATAACGGTAACTACCCACCCTAGAGGAAGGCAGGCAGACAGACACACAGACATCCCTAAACCCTAAACCTACCTTTGGTTAGTAGGGAATGGGAGAATGGTAGTAATGGTACTTATAATAGTTCCCATTCCTCCATTCCCTACTAACCAAAGGTAAGTAAACCCTAACAGCCATCCCTAAACACGCAGGGCACCTGCACAAAAGCCTCGTGGCCTTCAACGCAGAGGGCAGCCTCTATGTGGCCATCTCGAGCTCGCAGCATGATAGCAGCATACTGGGTTTAGGGTTTAAGGTATTTGGGCTCTTAAGGTTTAGGGTTCAGGGTATTTGGGGCTCTTAAGGTTAAGGGTTTAGGGTATTGGGGCTCTTAAGGTTAAGGGTTTAGGGTATTGGGGGCTCTTAGGGTTTAGGGTATTGGGGCTCTTAGGGTTTACGGTTTCGGGCTCTTAAGGTTTAGGGTCTAGGGTATTGGGGCTCTTAAGGTTTAGGCTTTACGGTTTAGGGCTCTTAAGGTTTAGGGTCTAGGGTATTGGGGCCCTTAAGGTTTGGGGTTTAGCGTTCTTTAGGATGCACTGGTCCACCAAGATGCAGTTGGCCGCCAATCTCTGCAGAAGCTCCGGCCTCCAACACTTTTGATTTTTCAGACATTTTACAAAGAAGGAGCTCAAGGGGTTTAGGGTTCAGGGGCTTAGGGGCTTAGGGGTTTAGGGGTTTAGGGGCTTAGGGGCTTAGGGGTTTAGGGGTTTAGGGGTTTAGGGTTCAGGGGTTTAGGGTTTAGGGCCGCAATGCTCGGAAGAGAGCTCCAGAGAATCTAGCCGGTACTGCAGGTCGTTGGGACAAGGGATAGGGTTTCGGGCTTAGGGTTTTAGGGTTTAGGGTTTTAGGGTTTAGGGTATCCAGGCCAGAGAAATAGTAGAAGCCTCCTTTTGCCTTGCTGATCTCCTCGAGTTGTGGGCTCTTGGCCGGAAGCTGTGACCCAGAACCCTATACTGCTGAATGGACCAGGGCTTATGCATCAATGTGCTCCAGTGTGGACTTCGGTTTTGACTCCTCTGTTCTTCTGTTCGCTCTGTCCTTCCCTGTCTCCGTGGCCTTCTTGCGCGCTCTATCACTCTCTCTCTCTCTCTCTTTTTCGCTCTCTCTGCCTTTCCCTCTGTCAATGCCCTTTCTCATGGACTCGCTCGGGTTTGCTGAAGATTTCTTAACAAGCCGTATCGATGATGTTCGTGTCGTTTCCACCATTTCGAAAACGTCGCGGAGCAGTGCAGACAAGCAATCCTTAGGCCATGGCGCAGGGCTGCAGCGCTACTTGACAAGCTCCAGAGTAGCCAGCGCCCAAGGAACACAACTCGAAACCTAAATCCGAAACCCCAACAACCCTGGACCCGAAATTCAACCCTATACTAAATCCTAAACCCTAAAAACCCAATAGTCCAGGACCCTACGAAACCTAAAAGTCAGGCTATCAGCCCCAAACCCGAAACCCAAACCTCCACCTGACCTCTGCCGGATCGGTGGGCTGCGAAGAGGGCTGAGTAGGAGCCGGTAGCTGCGCCTTGCGGGGACCCAGAGACTCAAAAACCCCTTAATTCAGGAATATACCTTAAATCTTATTAGGGTTCCTATTATAATTTAAGGTATATTCCTTAATTAAGGGGTTTTGGAGTCTCTGGGGGGGTTGTGCAAAAGGTCTTGGGGGCTCCCTAAATTGGGGAACTCCTGAGGGTTCCTTCAAGGGCTCCTTTAAGGGTTCTTTTATTGCGGGTTCCTTTAAGGGTTCCTTCAGGGGTCCTTGAGGCCGTGTCGGGATTAGGGCTAAAGATATGTTGTAGGGTTGAGTGGGTTTACGGGTGTGAGGGCCTTAGGGTCTCAGGTCAACAGGGGACGCTAGATTGGAGACCCCCAGTCAGTTGTTCAAGAATGGTTCCTGCATGTAGATCCTGCAAAAAGTCACTGGAAGAGAGCAGTGCGAAAGCTGAAGCAATTCAATCGCCAATGCTGCCAAGTGCCTTGGCCACGGAGGCAGGGATGGCACCAGTTGTGGCCACGTCTGGCACCACTTTCGAAGCCGATTCGAGATTCGCGCTCGTGGCAGCATCCTTGACAGGAGGAGCAACAAAAGTCGTTCTACGTTTCTCTGCTTTCACGGCTTCATGGAAAGCTGTTTGCTTATAGTGCAACTTTCGTCTCTGTGCCCGGACGGCCTTTGTTTTTCGAATCTTCAGGGAGTGACCTTTCGGGAAATGATTTTAGAGTTGGCTTACAATCCCTCTAGTATTCCGAGGTTAAATTCGGCGGACCGGCCTCTGTGGCAGGGGTGACCAGAGCCGGGGCAATGGGCGATGGCAGCACCGTAGATGCATCCGACACCACAGGAGCAGCCGGTTGAAGGGTCGGGCTGGTAGTGGCTTCCTGACAGGCAGACAGAGGTCGTGGAATGCTTGTCTTGATCTTTCGGAGCATTACGTCGGTCCGTGCAGATTTCTATATAAGCATGTCCGCCCAAAACCATCTATGCACTCACCCTGTAACTTCCGTTCGCGACGCCCCGATGAGCTAGTTCAGCCAGTAGCTCAACCTGTTAATTGATCGGCATCAGATCTGAACACCATGCACGGACGCCCACGATCCGAACATCCAAACTAAACCCCAGAACCCTAAACTCGATATCCCAAACCTCAAGACCCTAAACCCAGAACCCTGTAAACCCTAAACCCCTAAGCCATGTAGTGTGCCCTTTATAAAGGGCCACCGAACCCCGGGATCCGAAAACGGGGCCTCGCCCGGCAGTGACCGACTCCTTGAGTCGGGGAAAGCTACGGCGTTCAAGGTCGTGTCGGGTCGTGTAGGGTTTAGGGGTTTAGGGTTTAGGGGGTCTACGGGTGGGTCGAGGTTTAGAAATATTTTGGCCTTCATAGAGCTGTGGGTTTGAAACTGTTGGGGGTTTGGCGCCTGCGCCTTCGATGCTCGGGGTTTAGGGATTCGGGCTGAGGAGTTTGGGACGTGTAGCATCGACATCGGGCTTTCGACAAATCTAAAGTGATCCGCGGTATGTCTGTATGTATATATCTTGTCTCTATCTATCTATCTATCTATCTATCTATCTATCTATCTATATATATACACACACAGACATAGAGCCAGCAACTGGGCCACGAGAAATTTACATCGAACGCATTCGAGGCCTAGGGTTTAGTGCACCTGAGGGGCCCCCGATGTAACCCTAGGGGCCTAGGGGGGCTTGCACTTCGGTGTCGGGAAAGTTTGGGGTTGTAGGGATCGCAGTATACGAATGCCCCATCAACATATCCTGGCAGCATGACACCTGTTTGTGCAAAATGCAAGGTTGAGTCAGCTAGTGAAATAGATTCGTTCTCAGGATGAGGGTTGCAACCGAGCTGGGCACAGTGCAACTTCAAGACACAGCAAGCCCGAGATGAAAGTTGCAAAGCAAAGCGGCCCCGCAAGGACGGCGCCACATTTCTCCTGCCTGAAAGCATCACCTCGCTGATATAGTATTGTATAGCCTAGAGCCCTACACCCGACAGGGACCAACCACTCCGATGGCGAAGTCCCCGGCCAGGGTGTCAAATGGCCCAAACCCTGGCCGTGCCGGCCTCCGACCCTGACGGTACTGACGCACGGACCCAAAAACACGTGGCCGAGGCTTTAGGGCTTCGGAATTTCGTGAGTTTAAGGTTGAGGGCGAGAGCTCGCATCCTTGCAGCATGCACCAACTGCACATGGGACGGCTTCCACGGCCAAGCATCCCCGCCGAACTGGCTGAGGATGTTGAGGTAGGCCACGACAAAGCTGCCGTTCCTCCATTTCAGTCGAGCTGTCGGTCTAAGCTAGACCCTAAACCCTAAACCCTACACGCTAAACCCTACACCCTAAACCCTAAACCCTAAGTCTATAGCGCTTGGGCCGTAGGCCTGGCTCGGGGTGCTTCACAGCTCAAGGAGCCTTCCTGCAGGCGCGTTTCGGGTTTGGGGGTTCACGGTTTGCTGGGAGCCACGGCTGCACTTCAAGGGAAGTTGGTCACGCTCTGCTCAACCCCCCCAACCTCTAAAGAAATAGTAGTAAAAAAAGTAGTAATATAATAAGTATTAGTAGTAATAAAAACAATAGCAATAATAATAATAAGAATAAGAATAATAGTAATAGTAATAATAATAACAATAATAATAATAGTAGCAGTAGCACCTTCAACTACGGAGTAGACCTTCGACCCTCTTGGCTTCCTCGGTTCCCCGAGGTGGGAGACGTGGTGGAGGGGGTTTTGGCCTGGGCCCGTGACGGTAAGCCCGACCCCGGCCATGATTTTTTTTTTAAATACTCCCGACCCTGAACCCTACAATAACGCTTTTAGCACTCCGCACTCCCCCCTTCCACGTACTATAGGAGCCTAAACAAGTACCAATACAATTTTGGGGGTCCTTACAATATTTATAGCAGAAATTCACCCCACAATTCCCTACACCCTAAACCCTAAACCCTAAAGACCCTACAGGCCCCTAAACCCTAAAAACCCACAAGCACCATTAAACCCTACAAGCCCTATTAAGCCCTACGCCCTGAAGTCCCAACATCCCTTTGTCCCGGCTCTTCCCGCGGCCTTCCCGGGAAAGCCAACAATCTGCTGAGTCGGCTTCGGCCTCTCCAAACAACGCCACATTGGGCGCTGTGGGCGGTGTAAAGGAGGGTTTAGGGTATTATAGGGCTTACAAGGCTTATTAGGGGTTTAGGGTTTTAGGGTTTTAGGGCTTTAGGATTTAGGGTTGGGCTTAGGGTGAAGGTAGAAGCACATCGCACGCCCTAAACACTAAGCCCAATGCCCTAAACCCTTGTCAGCATGTCAGGAAATGTCAAGCAGCTATTGCTAGGGTAAGTAGTCGTAGGGGCCGCTATGGAGATTGCTCGGCGGTGTAGTCTCGTCGATGTTCTTTTATGTGGGTAGTTCTCTAACTTAGGGTCCTCTTTTGGGTTCCCAATATAACCCGGTACCTTATAAAAAGGACCCTAAACGGGACCCTTATTTAGAGAACTACTGTTGATGATACAAATCCTGCATTACCTTAAGGACCCTAAACTAGGGGAACTATGGGTATATTCCTTATTATGGGGTACTGGGTACTGCAGGATTTATATCCTCAACCGTACCCCCTATGATGGAATGTTACATCTTGCGCCGGTTTAGTCCCCAAATTAGTACGGTACCTTATATAAAAATGACCCTAAAAGAGAGCCTAATTTAGAGAACTACCTATATGATGGAATGTTACATCTTGCGCCGG